CCTATAAACAGCACAGAACAGTGTTATATCAACATCAAAAAGTAGATTTTAGATGAATTTTTGTCGTAAATAAACGCACAAAACATTATGCGGAATGGTTAAGGGCAGTGGCGAATCTAGGATTCCGGTCGGGCCCCCCGGGCGCTGAGGTCATAAAAACTTTGTATCGTCGCGATGAATGTCAAACTTCCAGTCTAAATTAAACCAAAACTCTTTAACTTTACAGACTTTACTCACTTGACAATAAGACTCATAAAGAACAATACAATGCTTTCGATAATTTAATAAAAATTACGATGAAATAACTAGCCAAAAAATGTCTTCGACCGCGTCAAATCTACAAGTACGAGTGGAATGACTACAAAAGTAGCGAAATTTTTGAGCCTTTCAAGCTAGAAAGCAATGTTGAAACGTTTTTATTATTTTTTTAAAAAGAGAAATTAAGAAAAAACAGTTGTAATGATGTTAAATTAAATAAAGAATTCTGGTTTGGCTCTGGGGGGGGGCTGTAGCCCGATAGCCCCCCCCTGGATTCGCCACTGGTTAAGGGTCTGCTATAAGATGAAGTAGTAGTGAAATTCCTAACACAGAAAGAAAATGTACTTGCATAGCCATATTTTGAATATGTTTTCTATATAAAAGTTGTAAATATTGTCAAGAATTTTACCTGCGTCGTTAATTTATCGACGAGGCTAATATAAATTTCCGGTTTCATTTTATAGCTATAACATTTATTAGTTTAGTTTTTTCCTAGTTCGGAAAATTGTTTTTTAAAGAATTTGTTTTGTCACTCTATTAACTACCAGTAATACCAGTGTGTTTTTCTCTGTGTGTCTCTGCCCTCTACAGGGCAGACCGCTGGATCTAGAGCTTAAAACTTTGGCACAAATATGCCTTGGAGGGTGTGAATGTGCACCGTGGAGCGATTTTTTCGAAAATTCAATTAGAATTTCATTTAATTAAAAATTGAGTAAAATTTTTGCGTTTGTTGGCGATAACTTTCAAAAATATTATAGCACAAAATAAATTCTTATGACGCCTCAAAATTTAAAAATGATCATTTGAATGATTCATTGAAATTAACGTCCGATTTTTTTTCTAATTTTATCAGTTTAAAAAAAATATTTTATGCATAATTTGCAACAATGATTTTGATTGTTGCAATCAACTCAAACCGTCTTCATTGTTTTTATGAATACTTAATTGTGTGTTTCTCTTCTATTGTTGAAAGATAAGGAATGAAGATTCTGCTTACTTTTCATATTCTTTGGTAATAGCTTAATGAATTTTACTTCATTTTTTATGCATCATTTTTTTAGAAAGCTGTAAATATTAAGCTCTTAGATATTAAGTAAATCGGGAGGTAAAAAAAGTTAAGGGAACCATGAACACTGAATTTTGCATAACGGATTCAACTGAATAAAACAGAACAGTATTCTCTGCAAGCAAGGTGGTCGCCAAAGTCGGCTAGCAGTTACACTGTGATTTTTCTTTTGTAACTTTCTTTTTTTTAAGACTACTATTTTTTTCCAAATCCGAATAATTTTAAAGTTATTCATATATAACTTGCTTTTGCGCGAAGAAAAGTGTCTAACTAGTTATCTACATATTTTTAAGAAAAACAGCATCTTTTTCCGGTTGTGATATAGTTCATCTATCATATCTACCTAAATATTGTGGAATGATTTTGAAAAGTTTAGTTTTGTACCAAATTCATGCTTGACAATGTCAAATTTTGTTGCCTGGCCAAGGTACACCATAGGGTGGCCGTACAACACTACGTTGGCCAAAACTGGAAGATTTTGCTTTTTTAAATTTTACATTTCTACGCGATAAGTTGTAAGGAATACTGAAGGGGATTAAAAAGCTGATTTCCTGATGTTTCTAAAGCACCCAAAATTTCGGTTTTAGACTTGATTTTACCACTTTTTTTTCAAATGAAAAAAAGTGGCTGAGGTACAGCACCTTCCCCTACAAAACTATTAAATGAAAAATATTTCTGAGTTAAACAAATTTAATAGGTAATTAAAATAAACGAAATTTAATTACCGGAAAACATCGATTAACCGTCCCCGTCCGGACCAGAGCTGTGACGGATAACCGAATAGACGGATAACAGAAATCTCTTAATACACATTTACAGTAGCGTGATTTCACAGGTGGCTTGGGACGAAAATGAAAAGAAGATCATTTAAATGTGGATAATACATACATAATGTATTTAATTTACAAAAATATAAACTTCAATATAAGAGTAGTAATGCTCAGAAATGTATTTTAATACTATACTGCGGGTTGCCAATATAATGTGAACACTTAAAAATTTGCATATTTTTTCGAATAATTGTCGTAATAGTAATCGCCGAACTCTAATTTAAATTGTAAGTATACATAAGCATCCAAGATATTCAGCTTTCATAAAATTCAATATTACTGTTCGAAGTTTCAATTTTAAAAAATATCAGTTTGTGCAAGAACCCTCATCATTACGCTTCTCTTAGGGTGTACCGAAATTCACCAAGTTGCAATGCCGATGCCTTTCTGAATACTAATGGTATTAAACTGGAATTTTCGTAGAAGTTGCCCTGTATATCTGGCTCTTAAGTCATAGAAGCAAAAGTACGCCACATTTCGCACATGCGCAGTAAAATATCATTTACTAAAAATACTCATATTTCTTTTAATATTCAATGTATTTACTTCCAATTTTAATACAACGCTTCTCTAACATATTGTCACGTATTCTGCAAGTTTCGCTCAATTTGGTTTAAAACTCTGCAAGTTATAAACAAAAAAATTCAGAAAAATTTGGGATTTTTTAAAGAAAGCTTTATATCTTCCCTAATATTTGTGCGATGTTTACGAAAATGCGTGTAAATATTATGCACATCAAACATAACCATTGATGAAAGTTTCATCTCAATATCAGCTTTCTTTGAAACCGGATGAGTCGATTTTTTTTTTGTCTTCATCACTTTCTGGTCGGTCCCCTAAATACTCCCGTGATCGAATCTTCACTGTAAAATGTGAGTTGAAGCCTAATCTTTGCATGTTCGAAATTCTAAGAAATTCCACTCAGCTTTTCGGGAGATATTCGAAAATATATGCAAATTTTAAAGTGTCCGCATTATACTGGCAACCCACTGTAAATCTACAATAATTCGACGATGACGGATAATAGAACATGATGGTTAAACTAGTGACGCGCAATCGAAGTTTTACTATATTTTATTTCCTTCGGATTCTTAGAAAGTGTTCGAGTAGAAATGAAAGTTTACAAGTGGCCTGGAGCTTGCTTCGTTTACCTCCTCTCTAACTAACGTATTCATATAAATTCTACTAATACTCTTCATGCGTGGAATATATTCATAAAAAGAACTTTTCAGTTACCATATAACTATATTGACAACTCTATTCATTTGGTCTGAGCATGTTCCTTCATGCACCTGATAATTACCATATCGAGTTCATTTACACGCGTCTGTTATAAAGAAGATAACCTGACATTTCTCTCTTTCCAATCCAATACAAGTAAATAGATTTTATTTAAGAAAAAACTGCTTTCCAATTCCTATTATCTGCTTTTTCCGCAGAATTCCAACCAGCCAACCACGCTAACATAGTCCTCGATTTCCGGCGGATATCATTATCTTTCCAGTAAACATCTCGATCATTTCTATGGGAACGAAATAGAAGGCTATGAAAATAAAATCTGCTTCTGACAGCCCCCAAACCACTCCAGAACACAGTTTGATGAGAAAAGCCTCCGAAAATTCAAAAGAGTGCTTTTGGACTAAGAGATGGTTGTATACGTTTAGCCTCAGGGAAATCAAAATGGGGGATCATGTCAAAGCAAGGTGCAGTAACGAAAGATTTGCACTTTCGATTTTTGAGGTCGTAGCTAAATTTTTACAATAGGTTTGATCTTTAAATAAAGGGCTATATTCTTTACGTTTTAAAAGTCGATAGTTCAATTTATACAATATTGGCTTCCGCTGCGTTTGTTTACTTTGAAGCATTGTTTAATCCTTTCACTCGCTCGTGCAAGAAAAATAACATCTGCCTGTTGTGCTTTTAACATGGAAGCACTTGTTTGACCTGTGACTTATTGGTTTAAGAAAACATTTCTTTCGTATGTTCTTTTTTCTCTCTCTTGGCGTTTTGTCAAAGTTCATATGGCTGGTTTCTATTGTCCATAGATAACTCCATGAACCGTTCTGGTCACAGGAATCCCGAGGTTGCTTGGATTATGGGCGTTGTTTGTACGATATTTTTAAGGAGCCGATTTTTATTGGTTTGACACTCTGAATGTCAAAATCAGCTCCTTTATTAAGGGCGAGATATTCTCATCCCTAAAAAATTCATAAGCACTTAAATGAATCATGCGACTGGATTTCAATGTATATGAATAGTATCAAATCATTATTTTAATTAATCGCGAACCACGTTTTTAACTTAGTTTAAATTTTTGGCTACCGATAGTGTTTCCAGCTTCTTTAAATATAAAACCTTATTTTCATTTCCCTGAGAGTCAGATGAAAGAAGGATTTCTGATGATAGAAAAAGTTTACTGAATATTAATCACAAGGAATCTTAAATAACAATAACTTGATTATGAAACTAAAATTATTCCAGAATTGCATTATTCTGAACGAATGAAGTAAAATATTGTTTTAATATAACTTGGCGTGCATAAAATGTTATTTGACTTTATTTTGAAATAAAACTGCATCCGTAAAGTCGGAAGCAATCCAGCGACCTTTGGATATCCGCTCATATTTTCCTACAGTCCACAGCTCTGCCAACTGAGCTATCAACGGACTTTCGGGAAGGCTCCCGACAGTACTTTAACAAACCACATAGATCGGAACAACGACGTGATTATGAAACAAATAGAATCCTAGAATTGCATTATTCTGAACTAGTGAAGTAAAATATTGTTTTAATTGAACGTGGCGTGCATAAAATATACTTTAACTTTCTCTTGAAATAAAACTGCATCCGTAAAGTCGGAATCAATCCAGCGACCTTTGGATATCCGCTCATACTTTCCTACAGTTCACAGCTCTGGCAACTGAGCTATCAATGGATATCCGCATATACTTTCCTAAAGTTCACAGCTCTGCCAACTGAACTATCAACAGACGTTTGAGAAGGATCCCGAGAGTACTTTACCAATCGACATCGATCGGAACAACGACGTGATTATCAAACAAATATAATTCTAGAATTGCATTATTTTGAACTAGTGAAGTAAAATATTGTTTTAATAGAACGTGACGTGCATAAAATATTATTTTACTTTCTCTTGAAATAAAACTGCATACGCCGAGATCTGGCTCAATGGACAGGACGTGATTTCTGCCAAGCCATGTTAAACAAGTTGGTCCTGCGTTAAAGATAAATGCCTAAACAGATGTGGTGATTATGTGGAAAAGTGATCGGCAAGTATGCCTCTTAATTCCCTTTTGTATTTTCTGATTAATGTTATTAAATAATTTTTATTACCTTTGTAAACTTTTTTGGATCCATCCTTGCAGGCAACAGTCCTCAATCCTACTGTTACTTTCGCGGCGGCTCGGTAATTCAGAGACCCGGATGCCTAAGCCGATCTGGGGATAATTCTTTATGGTTTGCTGGTATTTATTTTATGGAGGCTATTAGATAAGTATTTTTGAGCAGCGATATGCTGAAGTTAATTTGTAACGATTTAATGTCATGCGGTTTTTGGTTTATCGTATTTACCTCAAACTCAAAAGTAAACGATATTATAATTATTAATTTTCAACGAAATACTTCATAAAACATATTTATACTTAAATATCAATGTCTTTTATAGCAGAAAAATATCATTATGTTCTTCATGCATGAATCTAGTGAAATCCTTATAGAGTCTGTTTAATTATATGCATTCTAATTGATTCAGCTAATCGGCTTTGTGTATCTAACTCCAACTTGAAACTCGGATACGTTATACTTTGGTCCTGGATGAGTTATTTTAGAGAAGCCATCTCCCTTTCATATCGTCGAGATCCGTCCTATAAATTTGTCCCATATTAATCTCGTAACATCTTTATGGATAATGCAGGAACTGTCCAGGAGTTTCCCATAGTTAGACAAACAAATTGAGTGTTTCCGGTAATTTCGAAACGGCCATTATTATAGACCAAGATCCCGTATATCTCTGAGGGTTCGCGTTAACAATATTCTATTAGATTATTACTGTATAATCATGTGATGGAGTGCTTGCCTTACGTTGGGCTGACAATCAAGATTAAGCCCGAAACCTCTATGCAAGCTAGCAATATTCTTAGTAGAGAACTGACTGTTAAACAATTGTTAGGTACTTTGTTCGGCAGAATAATTGTTGGATGATTCATTCGCTTTCATATATTATCAGTTGCCTAAATTTCGCGGATAATGAAATCTAGACGGATGTTGATACATGC